TAATTTCAATAAAAATGATTTAAAAGTTGAACATTTTGTATAAAACTTTAAATAAAATATTCCAATAAAAATATGAATTTACATATTAATTCGTTCCTTGGTACCTATCTATAATAAGCATTCCTGATCGCCCAGTAGTCAGAATAGGTACCTATAGAAATAGACCACATTTTATAACGGCAAGGAATTGAATCACGATGATAATACGGTAAAGGTAGACGGTTTTGTAAATGAGTTTCAATTTACTAAATATAGTGCACACGACCATACACAGATGAATAAACTCAATTTAGTAGACGTACTTATAATAATTAGTACTTACTAATTTAGCATTTAGTACCTATACCTATACTGGCTACTAGGTAAAGTAGATACTTATAGCTATTTATTATGATTTATGAACGAACATCAAATTTCATGTACATTATAGTGTAATATCGTGTTATGTATTAAATTTTGTATTATATAAGAAAAGCGTATCAGTTAAGAAAAGTGGGTCGACCTCGATCCGTGCAGTATATAGTAGCCAGTAGAATTAATTATATTTTGTATGTAATCAGACCAAAGCCGCTGTCGCTGACAAAATATGTTCGTGGTTATGACTTAATCAGCATAATATAACTTGTAAGTTTATTATAATGTATAATATTATAGATAAGTAAAGTAGGTACCTATCTGGTTGTTTTGAAATTCATTGTGAGCGTCGGAGTCATACCTACCTATTATAAGTATTATATTATTATAATTTGCCTTTATTCTGGAATAATCCAATATGATTTGTATACAGTCTACAAATTCCAACGCTTTACTAACTAAACCAATATTGTAATTAATACCTATTAAAATTTTAAATAAATAAATAGTTAATTACCTCCGGATATAATTGTTATTAATTCATTTATATAAATATATTAATACACATTATACATTCATTTGATGAATTACGATTACAAGTCAGTATAAATCGATAGAAAATGGTATTCAATTCGAGTTTTCTTAGTAAGTAGTAGGTACTAATAGTAGGTATTATTGTTTTCTTAGTATAGAATAGGTACATACTACCTATTATTGTTTTCTTAGAAGCATATTATATTGAATGTTTATTGCTTTTATTATTATTTTCGAAAAAGGTTACCTAACGATAATATAGCCAATATAGGTACCTACTTACAAGTTACAAATGCTTTGTAAAATGTGTATTTATGGTGAGTAAATATTTAGAAAAACTATTTAATTTATATATCTCTCACACACATATTACACACACATAGATACACAACATAATGTGAAATAGTCTGTAGGCCCAATAGAGAGGGAACAAGAAGACTTGGGGATACTTAACCCCTCTAAAAGTCATTAAAAGTGCTCATGTTCCTACCTTTCTCCAAATATCCTTATTCTCCATTCTCCAATATCCTACACAGGAATTGTTTGTCAGGAAGTCTACACGATCACACTCGCAAGTGACAACGATAAAGTAAATAAATCAGTAAAGGAGGCAATATTATTTCACTTGAAAATTCAAATATTCCTAAAACGAATAATTTAAATCTAACTCATCTGATAAACTTTTGTCTTGTAATGAACTTTCAACTTACAGTAAAAGTATTCAGATACTTTAAAGAATATCTACATAGATACCAGGGCTTGCAAACGTTTAATAACGATATGATTATAACGTTATATTTAACAAATAACAATTGATATTTGTAAACGTAATTATAACGGAAAGCGATAATCAAAAATAATTAAATATTGCAAAACAAAGCATAACGAATAACAAAATAATATATAATATATTATCATTAAACAAAAAATATCACAAAACGTAATTTATAGAATATCATTAAACGAAAAATAACGCAAAACAAAATTATTTGAAAATTTATAATCCATTTATTTAAAAGTAAGGTAAATTGGTTTCGTAGAAATATATTTTATTTCATGCTATTTATTTTTGTCTTAGAAGAAAATCTAAGAATTGATTATACTATATTCCGTATCCGAGACATTACCTACCCGCATTTTTTTGGAGTTATTGATAATTTTTAAATTGGATTGCCAATAGCAAAAACCTAGTATAATAATAATAATAATAATAATTACTTAATAATTTTATTGATATTTATAGAAAAAACAAACTAAAAAAAAATGAAAACTGAAAAACCAGCTCAAAATAAGTAAAAATATTAGTAAAATGATATGCTGTATAGAAAATGCTAATATAAACATTCAGTCAAAATTTGATTTTCTCGAAAACAGAACACATTTTTTTGGGTAAAAATGCCAGTTTATTTTTCTTTTGTTTTTTTCGGCGCTTTTGAAATTTTTACTTTTGACCCCACAAAGTACCAACTAGATTTACTTTCCTATCAGAAAAGATACTGTTGAAGAAAATCTAAGCATTTTTACTGTTCTAAAAGGTGATGACAGACACAAAAATAAAAAAAAATGAAAAACAAACACATATCATTGAAAAATCAATACATTCATCGCTCCACTCAGAAACTAAAAAAGGTGGATACTGTTATGCTGTGTGTCAAGTGGGTCACTGTACTGGATGGAGATAAATTTGAATTCAATGATATAATATCATTGTACCTATACTAAAAAAGATTTCAAGTGGATCGATTTCTCTAAGTGAACTCAGCCTATATTATAATAATATTTTTAAATAAATAACTTAAATTGTTATTCTTCATCAAAATATCGTCCAAAATTTGTAATTAAAATATTGTCTACAACAAAATTGTATTTGTATATTTTTTTAGATATTTTGGTGACGGTAACTACTTATGACTTATGAGTTATGATCAGGGCTCGGGACTTAAAGCATTTGCTTATTTTTTTAGATTGACATAAAATGTAGCAGAGTACTATAGAAGTGTATGTCATGTTACAACACATTCAATTATGAAATTTGAGAGTGCTTTTTTTTGCTTTTTTCAGTGATTTTTCAAAAAAATGCTTATTTCAAGTTTTTATGATATTTATTGCTTTTTTGACCAGTTTTCATACTTTTTTATGGTTTTCTACTGCAAAGTTGTTTTTGATAGAATTAAAATTAAAAATAATTTAAATAAAAAAATGTATTAAAATTTATTAAAAAATTATTTTTTTTCAACTATTTGTAAATATTGTTTACATTTTATTTTTCAGAAAATCCCTTGGAAAATCCATAAAATCCTCAGTCCTGCAAATGAAGTTTAATTTTTTTTATAATATAAAGATAAATTTTTATTTTTATTTTATTGTTTTTTTTTTTTAATAAATTTTTTTGCTTAAATTTAAGGTTTTTAAATGCTTATTTGAGTGCTTTAATGATGTTTTTAAGTGCTTATTTAAGCGCTTATTTTAATGATTTTAAGTGCTTTAAGTCCCGAGCCCTGGTTATGATATAACATGTTTTAAATTTTCTAACCTTACCTATAATAACTGACAATTTTATACATTTAACTGTTTAAAATAATTTACCCATTTTCAAGATTTTGACGAATTTTATCAAAATTCTAACTTTAAACAACGATTGTATAAAATTTTACGCTCGTCTTTTTTTCAATTAGACGATTTGATTATTTTGATTTATAAAATTTTTTTTATCAACAATAGTAGAAGTAAACTAAATAAAATTAATATTTTATTATGCCTTTGAATAGGTAGCTCAAAAATCGTAAATATATTTTAAAAATGTAATGGTAGTAATATCAACATCCGATGAAAATTAAAAGTAATTATACTGTTGGGTACCTATGATTTTGTCGAAAACTGGTTTGCATAAAAATCCCCGTTTTTCTTTATTTGTTTGTTTGTTTTTCCCGACGCTTTTGAAAATTACTGTGCATTTTTAAATTTGACATTGTAATAGATACTAAAGTTTAAAATCGAAGGATTATTTTTACTATGGGAAAAAATATTTATAATTAGAAAAAAACACATTATTGTAAAATCAATACATTCATTGCTCAGCTCAGAATCTAAAAAAGTGGGCTACTGCACTGCACCTGCAGTAGCTAGTAGGGTGTACCTCGCCATAGAGTTGGTGGCTGTATTGAGTAATGAATGTATTAAATTTGAATTCAGTGACAAATCATTGCATTCGAAAAACGATTCTGATCAGGAACACAGTGGAAGCCTGTACATCACTGAGTATATTTCATTATATTACATTTCTATTTCTATCATACATTCATACATGATGTTTCATTCATTTTTTTCGTTATTATCTCTGGGTCTATATGGGCTATTAAAAGTTTTGTTTTTACACCAAGACTTACTCAAAGTGGTGCTACATAATACCTAAATCCAGGGATATTTTAAAGTAAAAACAACAAACTTTAAATGGCAATAATAACATTGAAACTGAATTTTCTAATTTTACTTACTATCACTCATCGCTATATCCGCTATAGCCGGATTGCCTACCTAGGTAGCTTAGTTGCATGTAAACCGATTTTCACTTGAGGTGACTAATTGCCAGACATTCAACTTTGACTTACATATTTGTTTACGTAAATACAATGAAGCACCGGAGTAACGTTTTCTAACCAAATCAGTATTCTACAATCAGTAAAATCCTAGGGGATTGCCTACCTAGGGAGCATAATACAATAACACATAGATTAAATTTCACTTGTGCCGGATTTCTGCTTTATATTTATTATAATATAGGTACAAAAATCACCAGGCAGACGTCGAGGATCTGTATCAGCCTAATTCAGTTATCAATTTATACGGCTTATGAAACTAGACGTTCAAATTCATCAAAAACTTTTCCTCCCTCGAAACGAGACTCCCAAAAACGTCGGGCCACCAAATCAATGGTATTAAAGTCACAAAAATCACAAACGGTCATATCACCTAACTTCATGTAGTGTATAATTATTATAATTTATAAACCTAAGTATTATTCAACAAAACATTATTTTATATTTAAACTATTTTGCACAGGGCTCCGAAATTTGTAGTCCTAGCCCTGTCCATTTCCATCACTCCGCATAATATCACAAACCGTTGGCTTTTAGATGCGTTCTCAAAGGTCCGAAATCATCGGCGTGGAAGAATGGAACGAACCGGCCTTGTCTCATCAGCGACCGTGCCTCAAGCGCGTCACACCTCTCTTGTTTGAGATGAGCCAGTTTCGCAGATAACCGTTCGTCGTGCGCCGCGGCCGAATCGCGCCGCGATGACGACAATTCGAGATTCCGAGAATCCCCGGGTGAGTAAATCTTCCTCAACGCGTCCACGTCGGGAACATATACGCGGACCCGTAGTTTCCCGGGCGGGACGTCCACCGTGGCCTGACTGCCCGAACCGGTGTATTGCTGCAGCATCAGAGCTTCGATGAGCGGACCGTAATCGATGTTTACCTTGCGGAATGAACGAGACGTCAGCTGGATTGTGGTTGGGACTCGCTCGTCGTCTAAGGCGGCGACTTTGCCCGAAAATGGTCTCAGCCACGCGTACTGTTCGCCAATCGCCACCGCGGGTGGACCGGTCACCCATGGCTTTTCCACATCGACGTCATGTGCCGCGAAAACAGTAACGGTCCTAACCCGTTGACTCTCGCGCACGGCCGTGTGCTGGCGTCCGCGCACACCATCGGCGAATTGCTCATATCGGAGGCTATCCAGCGTCCTGAATCCCGACATACCTCGTCTGACGACGAAACACTCAGATGCAGACTCCGCTTCTTCGGTCGTGACCATCGTCGCACCAGTCATTCCTAGGACCAGGTCATCACCCAGCTGCCGCTTCCGTGGTACCGTCACCACTCGGACGGCGTTCACGCGCTTTTCGAACAGAAACTCCGAACCGTTCCATCCAAAAGTGGCAGTCAACCGCTCGTCGTCGTCGCCGTCGTCGTCCGACCGGTACACATACACTGCGTCGGTGGTAGCGTCGATCCGCATCGACCGGTCGGTCAACCGTAGCCCGACCGGTCCGCCGGCTAAACCACGGGACATCGTGCAGACACCGGTGACTTTAAACGTTCCGTCCGGGTCTTCGGTCACGGTATGGTACGCGGGATGGATGTACTCGTACGGCGGGACGACCGTCGACGATCGACGGACGTTCGTCGCACCCACGATGCATGTTCCGTCGGCAAACTCTACCGTCCTTGTGGCACCGTCCTCCGAGAACCGTTCCACGTAGTCAGCATGACGCCTCATCCGCGGATCTTGAAGGGGGTCGTTGTTTTTGTTGTTTTCACTCGTGCCGGAAGGCGAGATGGTCGACTTTTTCCGTCTCATTCTTGACGGACTCCTGCCCATCCCGGTTACGCTTTTGGTGGTCCTTCGGGCCTGGCTCTTCTTTGCCTTGATGCTGACGCTTTTTGAGGGTTCGATTTTGGTGGGACCGCCTTCGGTGCTATCGCTGCTGATGGTGGAGGCCCTGGGTCTACCAGTGCTGCTCTTCGACGATTCCTGGAGTGGTGTTCGAGTAGACCGCGACGGCCGCTGGATTTTCCCACTCGACCAGTACGTGACTTTCGTTCGGTCCGCGTACTCGGCGACCACCCGCCCGTTGCCGTAAAACCGGCACATTTCCACTTCCGCAGCGTTGACCTTGGCACCATCGACATCGTTCCGTCGCCGGTATATCTGCTGCAGCATGCCGTAGCCTGGATCGTTTCCCGAAATCAACTCTACTGTGCACCCGCCTCCAATGCCCGCCCACGAAGTTTGACCGATACACCTGATTACGTTCTTTCTAGTTTTACCCACATAGTACTCAAGACCTGCGTCATTGTTATAAACCCTTAGCCAATCTTCGTCATTTTTAGGGTGATCGTCATCATCGTCGTCTTCGTCTTCATTTTCGCCTCCACGTTGATGATCGTCGTCCACCGATTTTACGTGTTTGACGATTTCGTAATATCCGGATTTATGCACCAGACTAACAGTACTGGGTTCAAATCGCCATTTTCGTTCGGAGATTCTCAAGAAATCGTCATCTTTAAAACGTATCTCTTCTATTTCTTCCGTATACGTCAAAGACATGTCTGACGCTGCAGTAGCAGTGTCCATTGCGTAGAAACATTTTGGCGTTCTCTTACCGTAATGAAGATCAAAATAGTCTTTGGCGAAAACAGGTCGTTGGGGCACGTTGAATCTGAACGAGGATTTGCGCGTCTGCAGGACTTTTTGACAATCGTAAAATCCCACCACAACTACGTCTTCAGGTTCAAAGTACGCGTGACTCATTCTCCTATAGCTTTCAGACTCTTTCTGCAACATCTGCACCATCGTCGCACAGCCAGCCGGCTCGATTAATTCTGGCTGAAACTTGACGTTTGTCATACTCAATCCCGGCAAACCAATGGGTTCACCTCTGTAAATGTCCAAGTTACTCCGCAACCGGTTCAGAGCCAGTGCGCACAGTTGCACGTCCACGTCGTCACCGCTGGTATGGTGCTCGCATTTCCGTTTGATATGAGAGATAACGCGGTCGTGCTCGGCCTCCACGTCTGAAGGCGGCAACGGACACGAACCCCACAACGATTTTCTCCATCTGACGTTCAACACGTTCACGGCAGAATCGAAATAGTCCGTGTGACGCAAGTCGTGTTTCTTCGCTACCAGACCGAATTTGTTTCCATACTGCACACAGGCCGGATACACCATACAGCCGTCGTCGCTATCGTCTTTCAGCGCACCGAAAAATGCGTCGACCCATCGCTCCGTCGGTGGTTGTACGGGACCGGCAATCGCGGCTTTCACCATCGCGTCCAAAATCGTAGGCAATTCAATCGCGTCTTCCGGATACCCCTTCAGGTGTTTGGTGTACGATTCATAGTAGTGCTGCACCATAGAATCGTCGTCGTTTACGGGTAAGGCGTACACGGGGTTGTTGTTTTGAGTGTACTTTTCGTATTCAGCTCTCACGTTGTATACAAACAACAGTACTCTGTGCATTTCATGTAAAACGTATAGCCTGGCCGCTACTAGCATCTTGTCGACGTTTGGCGGTTCGTATTCGGCATTGTATTTCGACTTATATTGATAGACCACAACGTTTTTGAACACGGACGCCCCGTCAGCTGTGTCCAACCACATGTGAAAATCCCGCCAAAACTTTTGGATTGCCTTAACTGCCATGGCCTGTTTGGCCCTGAATGGCCTGGAGACGAATTTGTCCCGGGTCTGAGCAATTTCTCCACAGCTCAACTCAACAATTGCATCAACTTTAATTTTAGAGGTGATGAATTCGATCATAAGTTCCAAATCGATGAAATTGATTAAGATTATGTTCACTACGGCCGGTTGAAATGTATACGGCTCGGTGTCGAAATTAAACTTTTGACGCATTGATTCTAAATTGATAATAATCGTTTGACGCACTAGCAGTACCATCAGCTTATTGGACACCCTACTGTTATTGTGAAAATACCTTTTAGCTCTGTCATGTAGTGACCGATACTGTTCGTCCTGCTCGACGCAATTGTTATCTAACGATTCGACGATTCGATTATGGTCTATAATGACCACATTGCACGCTTGGTCTTCGGTTCTATGCATACCTTCCACTGCATCTTTATAGACGTCTATGTACTTGGTACTGTTTAATGTGGTTTCTATTAAAAATATTAGTTGATAAGGACACAACAATCCTGATTCCAAGTCATCGTTAGTTTTATTACTATCATTTGCTTTAACCGCGTTTCTACGAAAGGCCCGGCGGCGGGTAACAGATTGGGCTTGATCGACCATCTCGAAAATATCTCAGATACCTAATGGTATTGTAACAATATTGAATGATTGAATAAATATAAAATATTATACAAACTACAAAGTTACTATAACTATAGTTACTCTTATACCAGTTTTCGAAAAAAATAGATTTTGTTATATTTTATTATACCTAATTCAAAAACATAAGACTGACTCGCCAAATGTTTGTTATAATTTTCCATACAATGTTATGGTAACATTTTCAAAATATTCTACTCTTTTTGAGCTATTTATAGACATTATAGGCATTTTCGACTTTTTTTTCTATAAATGTCGTTAAAAAAATTTTGTCAGTCATAAAGCTTGAAAATTTAATGTGAGATTCCTAAATAGTTGCTAGGTACTTGTTATTATACCTATTTAAAAATATTAAAGATTCATGAGCACAATTTTTTTTAATTGGCATTTGATATGGAATTTGTACTGGAAAATAATCATACACATATAAATAATAAATATATAATACAAAGTTACAATGACTATAATTTCGTTAAATTTTTCATATATATTATATCATAAGATAAACCAAAATCCAACTCCTACTATGAACGAGTAACTATTTTTAACTCTAACAAATTTTGAAGGTAATTTATGAGGCCATAGAGGTTTATTTTAAGATTGTTTAGTTTCTTATATCATCTTATGAGTTATAATAATATCATATTATTCAGAAATGCCAGTGTATCATTACACAAACGACTCCATCGGATTTTTCTAAAGATGTGATACTATGTGAGTTAATATTAATATACAGTGGTATAAAATTGTATTATACAAATTATAGTATAACCTATACAATAAAGTATTATACACATTACACGTGGTATAAAATTATTTCACACAGTTTGTTGGTATAGAAAAAAATAAATATTAGTAAATATAATATTAGAAAAATAATTTGATATTCAAGAATATACATGAGTTGAAACTACACTATTTTAAATTAAAACTATTTGTAAATAGGATATTTTCAATCAATGAATTTTTTTTTTTTAAATTAAACATAAGTTTCAAACTTAAAAAATGTATTTACTCAATTTCTCATGTAGCGATTTCCTTATTTTACTGTAATTCAAAAACCAATAACTGTAGATACATGAAAATTGAAAACTTAATTAAATGTTTATATTTTCATTTTCTATACTCCATAACATTTTGAAAGTACATTGACTCGTTTTGAACTGTTTACGTACATTTTCATTTTTCAATTTTTTTAGTTTTTTTTCTATAAATATCAATAAAATGTTATTTGTTGGGCCAAAAAGCGTGAAACTTTATATAATGCTCCTCATATATTTTTACAATAGTAGATTAATAATATTAAAAACATGGGCACGATTTATTTAAAGTTCAAATTTTGACAAAATGTATCAAATTTAAAATTTAAAAAGGTGCTCTGCTGTACAGCAGGTTATAAGGATTAAGGGGGTGACTGTATGATGGATGGTATTAAATTTGAATTGAATGATATATCATTGTATAAGAAAAACGATTCTGAGCGGAGACGGTATGTCAGTCTAGGTATAAGACATATTTTATACTTATCTATAGTATTAAAAAAGAATTGCCCTATAATAGGTACCTATAATAAATTCCAAATTAATCCAAATATAACGCGTTCTACATCAATAACAGACGATGATACTATCATAGATATATAGTAGTATACTTTAGAAGTTTCAAGTACCCACGAATAATATTATACAATCACAACAAAATAACAAAAATAGTTATTCTAGGTTTTTTAATATGTAATTTCGTCCAAATTTGAACTTAAATGCTTAAAAAAAAAATTGTGCCCATACATTTTTAATATTTTTCAACTGCTATTGTAACAATATATCAGGATCCTTGCATTATATTTTCACGCTTTTTTACCCAACAAATACAATTTTATTGATATTTATAAAAAAAAAAAACTAAAAAAATTGAAAACTGACTATGTCCGTAAACAACTTAAAAAGAGTCGAATTATTTTCAAAATTTTATCGTGTATATAAAATGCTAATATAAACATTCTGTGACATTTTCAAGTATCTACAGTCATTCGTTTTTTAATTACAACAAAATAAGGAAATCGTTACATGAAAAATCCAGTGAACATCACATATTGTAAAAATATGAATTTCAAACGTTCATAAAAATTTAACTTGACTTTCTCGTAGACATTTTTTTTTTCGATAAAGGTAGATAAATGTTTGAGGAATCTTGTATTACATTTTCAAATCTTAGATTTAAAAAGAAAATTTTTTATGAATTTTTAACTCGAAATAATTTGCAAATTTCCGTAATTTTTACGTATTTTGTCAATATATGAACTTTAAATGCTTATAAAAAAAATTGTAATTATTAATTATTTAATTAATATTTTTCATCTGTGTTTGAAACGATATATTAGGAGCCTTCTATTAAATTTTAAGCTTTTGTAAACAACAAATAAAATTTTATTGATATTTATAGAAAAAAAAACTAAAAAAAATGGAAACTGAAAATGTCCGTAAAGAGCTCAAAATAAGTCAAAATATTTGGAAAATGTTATGGTGTATAGAAAATGCTAATATAAACATTCAGTCGAAATTTCATGTACTTAATGTCATTTGTTTAAGAGTTGCACTAAAAACCAAAACATTTTTTCGAAAATAGATTTTGCGTGCAAATTCCCGTTTGGCCTTAATTTTTCTTTTGTTTTTCACGGCACTTTGGAAAATTACTAGAACATTTTTACCTTTGACCCCCCAAAGTACCAACTAGATACACTTTCCTATCAGAAAAGAAACTGTTGAAGAAAATCCAAGCACTTTTACTGTGATAAAAGGTGATGAACGACACAAAAAAAAAAAAAACATTGTAAAATCAATACATTCATCGTTCCATTCAGAATCTAAAAATATAATTACCATATTAAGTTCTATAAATACCTACTTAGGTATCTACTCACTACTTTTTATATGAAAATGAAATATTCTTATAATACAATGTTACTAATTAGTAGTTAATTTAAGTCAACATCAAGTCATCAAATAACAGTTAAAAACATTTATCAAAACTAATATTTATTATATTATATTATAGATAATCAATAATTAAGAGTAGGTACCTACACCACACCCGCATTTGTTGTCTCCGTCTTACAAACGAGTAACAAACCAAATTTAAGCTCACAAATTCAAGTTCTATGCCGTTGGCTTAAAAATTAGAGTGAATCGAACTATGATGAAACTTAAGAACATAATCTGTGTTTTGTTGAACGCATTTTTACGATAATTCAGTTTTTAATTGAGTTATGATCATTTTTAATTTAAATTTATTATACAAGCATAACTCACTAGCTAACTAACCTAGAAAATTAAAGATTGACCTATAGGCTACAATTAATACTAGAAATTCTAGTATAGATATCGAAAGATTCAAACAAAAACTATCGTGTCGAATCAGGCCCGAAACTAATAAGTACCAATAAGTCATAACATTATTGTCGACGTCGTTCACTGTTCAGTCGTTGTACCTATTATAGTCTGTACTTAATAGCAATATAATATTATTTGTCATTAACCAAACACCTCCCCGTAGTTCGAATACTGGCCGAAGGACGAGAACACGACTGTACGAGATTCACGATCGTTATCTCTTTACGGCACGTAGGCACCACCATCAAGAGTAGGTACACGTCATTATCGGCCGAAAACTAAAGAATTATTCCATTTTGATTCTGAGCGGAGACGGTATGTCAGTCTAGGTATAGGACATATTATATACTTATCTATGGTATTAAAAAAAAAATTGACCTATAATAAATTCCAAATTAACCATATCACAGTATCCATTAGGTAACGCGTTATACATCAACAACAAACCCTGATACTATCATAATATCTATATAATAGTGTACTTTAGAAGTTTCAAGTACCCACGAATAATATTATACAATCACAACAAAATAACTAAAATATTTATTCTAGGTTTTTTATTATGTAATTTCGTCCAAATTTGAACTAAAAGGACCATAAAAATAAACTGTGCTAAATGTATTTTTTAGATTGTTTGGTAACAGAATAAAATACTTACGTGGAATCTTTTTTTAAATTTTCAATAGATATAAAAGTTGAACATTTTATATATTTTTAACTACAAAATAGTGATTCAATTTTAAATTTGATACATTTTTTCAAAATTCGATCTTTAAATGCCTATAAAAAAAAATTTTGCCTTTGCATTTTTAATATTTTTCAACTGCTATTGTAACAATATATCAGGAGCCTTGTATTAAATTGTTAAACTTTTTGGTCCAACAGATAAAACTTTATTGATATTCATAGAAAAAAAAAAAAAAAATTGAAATATGAAATTTGAAAATTTGAAAAACAGATCAAAATATTTTGAAAATTTTATAAAATACATATTCAGTGAAATTTTCAATTATCTACAGTTATTCGTTTTAAAGTTAGAACAAAATAAGAAAATCGCTACATGAGAAATCGAGTAAAAATTTGAATTTCAAAAGCTCATAAAAATTTAATTTGACTTACTTATAGACATTTTTTTTTTTTTGATAAAGGTAGATAATCTTATAAGGAATCTTGTATTGCATTTTAAAATCTTAGATTTAAAAAGAAAAATGTTTACGAATTCTTAACTCAAAATAATTTGCTAATTTACGTGATTTTTACATCTTTTGTCAATTTTTGATCTTTAAATGATTATAAAACAAAACTGTGACCATGGATTTTTAATATTTTTCAAATATCATTGTCACAATATAGTAGGTTATCAAAATAATATTATAGCTAGGCTGACTGACCGTCTTCTCTAAAAATGGTTTCTTATACAATGATACTATGTCATTGAATTCAATTTTAACACAATCCATTAGAGTGACCCACTTGTAATGTACTGCACAGCAGATCAACACCCACTTGCCCACCTTTTTATATATTATATTTATGATGCAGTGTTTGGAAAGAACGTCGTTCATGAGAGCACGTTCACGCTCATATATTATAGTGAAAGATACCTGCACATCACTAATTTTTTGCAAATAGAACGTGAACGATGTTTATATTTTTAAAGAATTTGATTGATTTTTAAGATGTTTGATTTATTTACCATTTAATAAATATTATTTGTATAAAATATTTTAATTAATTATACTATAATAATAATATTTTAATTTTTCCCATTATAATTCCTTTCATATTTGTTTGAATGCAAAATATATAAATTAAATAAGTGAAATTCCAGTGTCCCTGGCTAGACATACAACAACAATAATATTATGATTTCCAGGAATTTGTAATAAAAATAATCGGTTTATCATAATAAGTACCCTAGTATTCGCTTAATTTTTATCACTAGGAAATTCTTATCAAAATGTACCTCAAATAACGTGTCAGATATTAAAAATTTATTCAGATACTTTATAAATTGTATATGCTCTAAAGTCTAAATTGTATGTTTATTTTTTGGTTGAGTCGTATATGTTTATGAGTTTTTTATTTTTATATTGACTGCAGGATAACGATTCATAAAAAAAAATTAAATGAAAGACCCAATGAACACTTTCGTTTGAAAAAAACACGAACGTGACCCAGTGCCTTTTTTAAAGGACTGAACGTGAACGAGTTAATTTTTTTAGTAATATACATTTATAAAATATGACTTATAAGTTATATAGTAATACATAATGACTATTATTACAGTACTGATTTGATATTCCCATTAACACCACACATTTTACCGCCCTGTCATTGTAAATAGTAAGTAGTATTTGCAAAGAAAGAAAGAACGTCTTAGGAATTTTCATTATTAAAAAGTGGTAAGAATTGATGATTAGTCTAGATTTATTTTATAAATTATACCTATTATTATTACAAGAAATACAAATTTATTAACATCATATTATTAAGTACTCTGGACTCAGTTAACACTGGCATTAATTCATATCAAGTGTAAAATACTATTATTATATGATAGCAAGGCAACAAAACAAACAAATACCATTATTTTCATTCCCTGCATACCAAAACATACAGAATGACTTAACTTTTTATCCAAATATAATATAAGAAATTAAATACTGTGAATATAAAACATTTATATTACCCATAAAACAATTTTCTATAAGATAATAAATTAAAAATTAGCAATATTGACTTGTTGTTTTTTAAATTTTACTAAATCACAAAATAAAATGGTACAAAAATTGTGCTTTTATGTTGTTACATCCTGTTTGGATCATTTGCTATATAGTACAAAAAATACCGAGGTAGTTTCAAATAAAAATAATAGCTGTTTGGTACCAATGAAACATGAATAAATATGCACAAAACCAATGCTTGAAAAGACTTGAGTTTATACTGTTATCAACGCTCGTATCATACTGAAAAAAATTAATTCATGCATACATCAATAGTGATCAATACTTTTGATAACGAAAACAAATAAGTTATTTACCCATATAAGTAATAGAAAAATGAAAACAGATAAAATGATAATTTTATCCAACCCTCGCGCTGATATTTATACAATTTGTCAGCATTCATAATACTTGTAGGATCATAAAGACCAAAACCAGACATAACTGGTCTACTTTGATATCTATTAAAAAAAATAATAACAGTTTTAATTAGGCTTTAAGTAAAAAAATCAGTATTATTCAAAAAACAACATTATATGTGTATAAAATAGTGTACTTTTGCTACTTTTAATATATTATTGGGTACCTTTTAATATGATAAGCCATTAATGGTATATTAATAGCAAATGATATCCACTGGCCTCCAAACAAAAATAAAAGATTGAAGAAAAAGTGTATCAAATACTCAGGAATCACTAACTGAAATTAAAAAAATAAAGGTTTTTTGATTACAATATTATATTATATGATTGTAAAAATTATAAAAAAAAATTACAATTAAAAAAATATAGAAACTTTACATATTGGATATCTATTAGGCTGGGTCAACTTAAGAAACTATTATTAAATTAATGCATTTAAACAATGTTATTCTAATTTTTACTTCCTATTTTGTTAATTAAAAATGTATAAACTTCTATAAAATAAAAAAAAATACAGTGATAACTTGTCCTGAACAAAAATATTATTTTTTATAATCCACTAAACTTCTAATTTTAAGGTATAAAGTGTAAGTTTAAGTGCAAAGTTAAATACTAACTAAAATATATAAACAGTTTTTGTCCTCCATTTGTTTAAAGTATTTTCATGAAAACTTCTATAGACTATACTAGTAATTTACTATAGTTTAAAATTAAATGTATGTTTAACAAATGTTGTAATGCACATATAACTAGAATTTATTACGTAACTAATAAACTAGATAAATTCTGCCTAAAAGAATATACACAAGACAAAACTGAAACATAGTTATTAATTATTATTTAATAACAGATTCAGTTCAGATCAGAATTTTGAATTCTTATATGATGTGTGTTTTATGTACAATAATAGTTAGCTAAAAATTTGTTATAATGAAAACCAACAGTGCTTCTGTCTTCACAATCAAAATAATTTTTAATTTTTGTACATTGTAATTACCTCTATTTAGAAACATTAATCTAATTTTACTCACAATAGGTACATTGTATATGAATATGCATATTATGTAGGTACCTACATATTAACAAAAGTATTAATACTAAATATTTAATAGACATTAAAATAAACATTATAATACAGTACCATGCCACCATAATATATTGTGATTTTCCATTTGTCTATACACATATTCAATTAAAAAAATTAATACAAATATTAAGAGCCAAGGGTCTGTATACAATTAGTCTATTAAACGTATCTATTTGGAAATATTGTATACCAAAGATAATCTTAGAGCATATTATTTATTATTTGTATATAATAATGCCTATATATCTTATAAAACAAAATTAAATTAAATCAATAAATTAACAAAAAAATTATTCAATAAAATTAAAACTGAATTATGAATGCATAATAATTTATACATCTAGATTTGTTTATACTCACTGGATTTAGACTGTTACATTGATCTATAGGATTTTTGCTATCAGTTTTAAGTTCATCAAATGCAATAACCTAGAAAAAACATTGGGTAAGTAACTTATAATGACATAAAATATATATCTTTTTTAAACATATCTAATAAAATCAAATATAATCAGTTCAAAACTAATATTTAATAATAAATAATTTAAACCCTAGATCACACACATTTAAAATATTCACTTGAATACACGCACACGATCAGTATGGCGCAAATCATAGTCAACTAACCAGTCACAATGAAAATACCATAAACATCAATTTCGTTTATTGAGCAGCAATTATTAGAAACACAATTTGAAAATAACCCATAAATGGGTGGTTTTTTACGATCACGCACACGGTCTTCTTCACCTTATATTAATAGGTAATGTCTGGTAATGAACTTTGAACACTTCTATATTACTGAAATCAGATCGTATACAGTTGGGAGTTGTATTTAATTTTAGTTTATTACTTAATTAGAAGGTACCTAGGTTGGATTAGGTTAATATTTCATATTTTTGAAACAATGAACAAAATTCTAAAAGCCCTGTCTTTTTGACTGTGAAGCGTGTGCTCTAGGGTTAAGCATGGTTAATTAATTTAGAACTATGTGTAATTGTATATGACTAAGAAAAAAAAAGTTTAAAATTGGTGCAGGTTTTTTACCATGGAGAAATGTAATAGAAACAAACAGTGAAATAGGTACACTATTACCTACTACACAAATTTCAAAAGGAATAAATAGAATAAACTATACTTTGTTCTAAAATAAGAGTGTTAGGTCAGGTAGATGAAAAAACTCCTTGAAACACATAAATCTATAATTACTTCCGGAACACGGCCTCTACTCACCCGCTAACATTCCCCCCCCCCCCAACCACGTTAAACTGGACACTTTTTCTGAACAGTGTACCTATAGAGTGAACAATGGAAACAATAGGTATGACATAAAATATTCACCATATGATAAAACATTGTTTTGTTAATCAAAATAATAGTGCCAATACACAGATTTTCAAAAAATTATAATTTTAATAACAATATTATACTTCTGTATAATTGTTTTTTTAGGAATGGCAATAATTAAGGACAGCCTGGGAAAAAATATTGTAAGATCCATTAGAAGAGGAGTAGTAGAGATCTCTTTATTCACTCACAGACAATGTGTTTGATATGTGCTGTGTATATTTTTTATTTAGTGCTGTGGCGTGTAACATAGGGTCTGGCTCAGGCAACACCTTTAATATGGGTGGGTATATTGATTGATGAAAAAATAGGACATTTTATAAGTCGGTATAACAGTACTAGAGGGGTAGATCACCTAAAACTATTTGAGCAACACCAACTGATAGGTACATGCCACTGATTTAGTTAATAATTCTATAATACATTACGGTACTTACATGGAATATCGAAAAAAATATTAAAAATGCATCTGATATCATGGCCACAATATAAGTGAACACCGAGAATGTAAACGACATTGTGGTAGGTAGTTTGTTGCACTCAGTTAATTTAAAACCGAAAGAAGTCCCCGAACAAATATAAATCTGAAATATATTATCATAATATAATAAAAGAGAATAGAGAATACTAGTTTATTTGTCGATGGAAGATGATCATTACCTTTTAGACAGAGGAATAAGAACTGTAATAGTATCGGCAGATTAAAGTTTCAAACCTTCGATCGAATAGATCTGTCATTCGTTAAAATCATATCAAAATGTACGCAATTACTGCGGTAGACACAATACACAATCCTATATCGTACGTTATATCACAATATTGAAAATTAAAATAATTAAGTATAATATTAGTTATATATTATATGTGTAGGAACAATATTATATTATTAAAGATTAAACATAATATTTTATATCAATATAGTAATATAATAATATAATAGGGCTAGGCGCCGCGTTCGTAATTTACTCGTAAATATTCGTAATCGTTTATCGGATAATAGGATAATCGTTATACAATTATTGATAACAGCCGAGCGCGGGTTCCTACTACTGCCACTATAGTTCACTGCCACGATAATATAATGCTCCGAACATATTACTCCGAATGTAAAATGCTACGAATACAAGTTATCCGATTATATACAACTACGAAGGTAGATCAAACTACTCCGATATTATTAATATTATATTATTATCATTGATAAACTGTAATATCAATTGATATTACCATCATTGATAATATTAGTGTTATTAATTAATTTATTAATTTATTTTAATGTAAAAGGGATGAACATGAACCCAATAACAAATTAATAGTTATTACATTAGTAAACTTAAATCTATTTAGTTGACTGTAATGGCAGTAATATAAACACAAAAACAAATAAAAGAATTATAAAATAATAATAATAATATCTTGAATAATAATACAAATAATAATATCTTAATATAATAAAAAAAAAATATTAAATAATAAATAATATAAATTATAAAATAATATATATACCTAATATAATACTTATATGTATAATGGGTAATATAATCACAAAAACCATAAAAGGCATGAAAATTAAACAAATCAACCTGGACATCATTAACTAATTTCATTAATCTATTTAAAGGCGAGACAAGTGCATAAATTGTCCTTTGAAATTGAATGTAAAACTTTTTTTTAGATCTAGCCGTTATGCCGTTATGGTTCTGTGATACAACCACTGAACCACAGGTCACAGATGATATGCAAAACATCGAATTTTGGTTGGATGATTATTATAAGAAAGTATTTAACTTGTATATTCCTATATTATAGGTTTTGAAATTGGAATATGTACTAGATTAGTGATTACGTACCTACCTACTAATAGAATATTATGTAAATATTTCACTGATGAAGTGATGAATACATGCTTATATTATAATAATTATAAATTGTGTTGCACTGGTATCATTAATTATAATATATTTATATATATCAGTATACCACAAACTATATTCATATTATAGTCCGCGTATACATCCACTAACATATAAATATATACCTAATATATAATAATGTATTAATGTATAAATTAATATATTATTATTATGTTTATAATATTGTATTGGTAAATTTTGATTAAGATGATAATAAATTATCTATTCAATGTTACTCAAATTGATGATTTATTACCAATTTGCATGAATTAATACATTCAAATATTCAATTATTACAAGCATATAACGTAGGTAAATTGAGATAGAGGCAAAGAACAACTGAAAATTGAAATGTTAAAAAGGTGGATAAGTTGTAATGATGATCATGCTGATGTCATTGTAATGGATGTCGGATGTGTTAAATCGTTAAATGTATTTGAATTCAATGATAAATCATATTGTAAACGAAAAACGATTCTGATCAGTGTCGGCCTGGGATCTAAAGGGCCCAAGAGGCAAATTATTCAAAGGGCCTCTCAAAAATACCAAACCTCAAAAAAATATTTTAAAAAAAATGTACCTATAGAAATTTATCACATAATATGGATTGATATATATATATATAATATCGATAAGACATCACAGTACATATTTCAACATAATTATAGATTCTAAAATTATCATATAATTTTATTATTACCGCGGACTGAGATAATATTATGATTTTAGTATTATTAAAATAATAAAATGTATAATATTATATTATTATTATAAAATTGTGTAATGGATCCAAAAGCATACCACTGGGCTATATATAGTAGGTAAATTTTGGTAAATAATTTCATTTATTTCTTGAAAAATACGTGTTGGGGTCTCGGACACTGATTCTGACTGGAGACGTTGTTACAGCCGAGCGTACTTGCTTGTATAAATAATCAAATTTAATAGTTAAAATAAAAATTAATAAAATCATAAATATCTCATATTCTCATTGCTATAAATAGCGTAACATTCCACTGAGCTTTTTATTTTTGATAGAGGTAGTGAAACTTGTTGGGAACCTTCTATTAAAATTTCAAAAGTTAGCTATGAACAGAAAAACAATTATGAATTTCTACCTGAAAAATAAATGACAAAATTTGAAAATTTTTCTCGTAACTATAAATAGCTCATAAAGAGTAAACATTTTTTGAAAATATTACAATACATAAAAAATGGTCTTATTAACTCATTTTAACATTTGTTGAAAATTTCAAGTGTCCATGATTATTAGTTTTTGTATTAGGCTTAGGTACAACAAAATATCAAAAATTTATAAATAAAAAACTCGTTAATTTACTGATGAATATCATAAAAATGTTAAATTCACGCGCTCATAAAAAGTTAATGTTACATTTAGGTAAACTTTTTTTTTTTGAAGTAAGACCATTTAAGGGAGTCTTCTATAAAAATGTCTAATGTTAGGTATGAAAGGAATAACATTTATGAATTGAAATTAACTGAAAAATAGTTTGAAAATGTTCTAAATGTTTATGAATTTTGTAAATTTTTAGTTTTTATTGAGAATAATAGAAAAACAATTTACAATTTCGAAAAATGTCAAAATATTTCGAAAATTTTACCATTTATATTAAATGCTAATATAAAAATTTGGTGAAAATTTCAAGGGTGTACAGTTATTGGATATTGAGTTACACCAAAAAAATTAAATCGATATTTTCAAAAATTGGTTTTGCGTAATAATATTATTTCTTCTTTTAAAACTTTCTTAAATTACTTGGAATTTTTACCTCCCAGAAGAACCAACTAGATTTACTTTTCTATTCGAAAATATGCTAATCTTGAAAACCTGAACATTTTTAGTACCAAAAGTGTTGCTAACAGACAAAAAAAAAGAAATTGTAAAACCAATAATAGGTATATTATATTTCACTCCGCTCAGGTCTCAGAATCTTTTTTTTTATTTATTTTTAAAAGGAATCTATAATCTATACCACTTGGCACAATAAGTAAATGTGAAAACAGATTTTATATATAAATTATTAAAAAAAAAACAAACACATATTGTATCCTTAATAACATTTATATATATATATATATAGTGTGACAATTTTGAGGAAAGCACCCATTAGTAACACTTTCATTGGGTCTCAGAATTTAAAAAATAAAAGAGTACCTACTTGCAGGGTAAGCATGATAATATAATAAAACATTAAATATTTGATAAAGTATAACAAATAACCATTGTATACCTAAATATATTTGCCAGTTCTGAATTTTGTTTTATTTATAGGTGGTCAAATCTTATAGCTCAACTGACAAGGAACAATTGTCCCATATGATATTCATTATGAAGACAACAGTATATACCACTCATATTAATTGAGAATTTTATTCTTCTTGAATAATTTTAAAATTTGTTATTTATATCCTTTTTTATGTTTCAAATTCAATCATTATAATTCATCCTGATTATAATTAAATATTATCATATTTTACTGAATTATATTATTAGCATAAACTACAAATTGTGTGCACCTATTTTTTTCTTTATATTACTGTTTTTTTTTTTATATTGAATAATTTTATGATATAATAAACCTTTTATACTCAGTGAACGTGGAATGAGTCTTAGATTTTTTAAATTTACTTACAAGTTACAACTGAACAAAATGTACAATACAACATGTTTTGTAAAGTAATAGTTAGTATTTCTATACAATCTGTTGTTTTTGCTTGCAAATAATAAATAGGTACTAATAATAATTAAACATTTTGAATCTTGATATTTAATAAACTCACCAAATAAACTCATATAATCAGGCACAATTTCAACTTTTGACTTTGGGGGGGGGGGGCTGAATATATTAAAGGCATGCAGGCCATTGCAAAATAGCATATTAAAATTGTATGTCCTAGGTTTTGGGGAGGGGGCTACCAATTTGCGCCTATGCATATAATATCTACTTATACCAATTTAAATTTAGATATAAATCACCTATTATATTTATAAGCTCTTTATTTGTCAAAATATGCCAAAAATGGTAATTTATATACAAAAATAAAAATACAAGTTAGTACCTATTTCAAAACCAATATTTCTTGAAAATGTCATCTATAATGTATCATTGATATAATTGAATTCAAAACATAGTACATCCTGTTTTTGAGGTAATATCTAAAATATCTTCAAAAAATAAAATGCCAGTTTACCAATTTAGGTGTAGACAGCTTTTATTCGAATCACAATTAATATATGATATGGGTTCCATATAAATGGATATAAAATTGTTTATAACTCTTCAACCACAGACAGAGTGGACTTAGATTAATGTGAAAAGAATAATTAAATTACACAAAACAAATTTACTAAAACTTTTTTTATAGAAACTGGAGTCAACAAATTATATTAATAACAAATAGCTTAATGAATTTCAAATTATAAGATGTGATTGGGATCAAAGAATATCTGATAGATATTAAAAGTTTTGTGGATCCAGCGGCAATTGTTTGTTTCAAATTATTTTTACTAATACAAGATGGAAGAGCTTTAAATGATTACAAAGAGTGTATCCTAAGAAAATATTATAATTATTACCTTGTCA